GAAGACAGTCAAGTTAAATATTCTTAATTAATAATTACCTAGCTTTTTTAATAATTCACAATTTTTTTCCAACGGGAATCTTTTTTTTAATTCCAAATACACCCTAACCTTTATAGGACGTGGAGATATATTTCTGGCGTTAAATTGAAATTATAAATAAGAGAGATAGAGTTTTGGGGAGTGAGACTTTTTTTTGTAAATTTTGCCCTCTTTAAGAATCTTTTTTTTAAATTTCTGAATTCTTGGTTTTTGAAATATTTGTCAAAACCTAAATACCTTTTTTACATATTAATTTGTTTATAACTTAGCCATCACATGTATTTTTCCAACCATTACCTCTATTTTTTGCCATTTTCAACTTGTGAACCATACAAAAAATGTACAAAAAATATTGAAATAAAGGTTGGGTAATCTCAACATGATATTTCAGTGTGTTTAAGCACTGTTTAGACTACTTCCAGACATATGTATTTTGGTGATGAGTTGTGAAATAAATGAGTAAACCCAAACGGCACAGAATAATTGCCACGGACAGTCAAATTCTACTGCTGCAAGAAACGACTGCCATATTGTATTTTGTATGTACAGTGACTTGTGTGATCAAATGCACATACATCTTATCTTTTTTGACCAATTTAAAGTTCAGTTTTGTTTAGTCATTCTAATAATAAAAAATTCAAAATTACACCTAATACCATTCAACAAAAAAAAACAAGTATTCAAAAAATTTACATATTTTTTCTCTTAGTAATTTGCATTCTACGGCTTTTTGTGTAGTTCACTGAAGCTTGAAATCAGCATTCTAAAATGGATGAAAAATATAAATATATCTTTTGTCGTAACTCTTCACATAGAGTGTAGAATGTTCTTACCTTTGGTTTTCTTTGGTTCGGTAGATGAATCTAGAAAACTCAAATTTTTCTTCGGTGCTTTCCAAAATGATTATAGAAAAATACTTTCCAGATACGATACTCAAGTTGGAGAAAGAGGGTTGAAATTGAGCGGTGGAGAGAAACAAAGGGTAGCCATAGCCAGAGCCATTTTGAAAAATTCTCCTATTTTGGTGTTTGATGAGGCAACAAGTTCCTTGGATTCAATAACTGAACAAGTATGTTGAGTTTTAATTAGTAGAAGATGTATGACTAGAATTTGTTTAGAATTTTCATCCATGCATTTTCGCACATTTTTTTCCAAAATCATCATTCATTCTGATATGTTAAGTAGAAATTTCAAAACTAGCGATTAGTGATGACCTAAAATTTATCGATCTTTTTATCAGAATATCCTGAAAGCTTTGAGGAACGCTACTCAAGGTCGCACAAGCATCTGTATTGCCCATCGTCTGAGCACTATTATGGATGCTGATGAAATAATCGTTTTGGAAAATGGAAAAGTAGCCAATAGGGGTACTCACAACTATCTTATGGAAGACCGGAATGGACTTTACTTCAAGTTATGGGATACTCAGAATCATAAAGGAGATAAAGTGAAAGTTAGTGAAAGTAAAAGATCACATCAAACATTGTAATCGAATTTTTCATTGAGGTCTGACTTGGTTTTTAGATAAAATATTCAGAAAGTAATTTTGTGAAAACTACTATATTCATCATTTTTGAACAGTCAAAAACCGCATGAGAGCTGACGCCCAGTTCTTCCGCAATCCCGCGCATCATTTGTGATGGGCCAATCTCCATCAGAGTCCTCAGATCCTCGTTCTGAAATACTGTAAGTCGACCACTTTGGGGCTCATTTTGGAGGCTAAAATTTCCGGAACTAAGTTTCGCAAACCAATGTTGAATCGTGCGTTCATTAACACAACCGTTGCCAATTGAATTTCATTAGTCGGACTCTCATTGTCTAATATTATATAAAATGATTTGAAATCCCTAAAAGAACCAATACAAATGAAAAATTAAAAACATTAGCTGAAAATGTTAATTATATTGAGCAAAAAAAAAACCTGAAATGAAATTACAGTGAAATAAAATACAAGTAAAAATAGAACAATTAAAAAAACGTTAGAAATAAAAAAATTAGGAGATTCCAAGCCAAGTTACTTCATGACGTTTTGATTGTTGGTACCCACAATCGTCTTCGAGTGGTGACTGGACTAATAATTCCTCTGAGAGATGACTATTCATGGATCATTCGAGTACTTTCGCGTATTTACTCTTTCCACTTGACTGGTTTAACGGGAGGTGAGCGTTTGTCGTGACAGTCCACACAGTGTGTGTGTGTGTGTGTTAAGTGTGGTGTGGTGCCTTGAGATTAAGTTATGTGATTAGTTGAAAATTCGAGCAGTATTATGTTAAAAAAGTTGTCAGGGGCACAAAGGAGAAAGTTGAACAAGGAAAATGAGTTAGCATTCAAGAGGCCAAAGACACTGGGACTTTCCCATACTGGCTGTACTGCAGATGATACCGTTACCAGCGATTGTGACCACAGTGATCGTGATAGTTCTAATAGCAATAAAAGAGTGTCAACAAACACTAAAATTGAATTAATTTCCGAATCGGAGCAAGTGCAGGTGATTACTCCAGATCCTGCAATGTGGCCAGCGCATATTATGCATATTCACCGTGATGAAGTTATTTTGAAAGGGCCGGCTGAATACTCTAAAGAAGATCGTGATTACCCAATAATACGACAATAATAGGCTATTTTCAAACCAATTCCGATGTCGGATTTTGGAAAATGGAGAAAGAATATCAAGAAAATGGTTGATTTATTATGAAAAATCAGATGCTGTCTACAGTTTCTGTTGTAGATAATTCAATCCATCATCAAAGTCAAATTTTGGTCAAGCAATGGGTTTCAATAACTGGAAAAATTTGACAGACCGTTTAAAATCCCATGAGTTGTCACCAGACCATTTTAAAAATATGGCTGAATGGTTTGAAGCAGAAAAAAAAATTAAAGGAGACACCTTAGACACGTTAAAAGGTAAGACCTCGTTAGTCCTTAGCTCGCACAAGTTCTCAACTTTTGAGAGTTGTCGTTCGTATAGGAGCGACAGCTGATTAACGGAAAAACAGATTTTGAACAGAACAGACAGACCTCAGTGAACCAGCACATCATGAGGCAAATTGAAACTGAGACTCAGCGTTCAGCAGAAGTGTTGCTTCAGTTAGTAGAAATTACTTTATTTCTAGCAGAACACACGATATGGGTTTTCTCGTAGGTCATCTGCCAAAGTTTTTACCAAAAATATAAATGAAAAAGAAACACAAATTCATGTGTTTATTCCTTGTGGGTGGCATAGCCTGAACTTACTGATTGCTGATGGAGCAAAATCATCAGTTAAGTCTACGTCTTTATTTGGTATTCTACAACGACTCTTTACCATCTACTCAAGTTCAACAAAGCGTTGGTGTATAATAAACGACCATACTAAAGCACTTACTTTAAAGCAAATGTGTGAAACGCATTGGGAAGCTCGCGTAAGGGCTGTTCAGGCTGTTAAATACCAATATGTGGAAGTTGCGGATGCATTGGTTGAGTTAGGCAACAAAATTGATGACGCCCATACAGCCTCTGAGGCTTAATCTTCGATTGGTCAGATTGAAGACTTTTCTTTCATCGTAACTTTGATTTGGTCATTATTACGCCTTAGTCAAAGACGAAACGGACTGGTTTAAGTTTGACGATAGTCGTGTCCCGAAGTGTTCTAGCGATATATTGAATCTATTGCAGGTTTTTCCGGGTTTTCCTGCAGCTGAAAAAGCAAATGCGCCACTGGAATCAATGAAGTCGCCCCGGAGCGCCAATAAATTTTTATTGTTGTTTTTATTTTTATAATTGTTTTTTCTACACCCGTACTCTAACAATACACTTATATGCCCATAATCCGTTTCATAATGATATCCATTATGACACAGATTTTTTATAACGATACAGATTATCAACCAATAGAAACCCATAATTTTTCAATCAAGAATCCTGTTCCTTTGTTTGTCCTAGATTCTAACCTAAGTAACTAATTGCTTTATTTGTCAAAATCAGTTTTCATATTACCATGGAAACAAAGAAAACATCAAAGTTACACTGAAAGAACTATTATGTAAGATCAAAACCACAAACAGTACAGATTTGTTCCCAAACTTATGGATCACGCTAAGAGTGTTACTAACAATACCCGTGACAGTTGCTAGTGCCAAACGGAGCTTTACTAAACTTAAGCTTATAAAAACGTATTTGCGCTCTACAATATCACAGGAAAGGCTGAACTCTCTTGCCATTCTATCGATAGAGAATGGCACAGCAAAAAACTTAGACTTCAAAAAAATTCTGAGAACAGTTGCTAATGCCAAAGCCAGGAGAATACCTTTCAAAGTTTAAAGTTTGTATATATGGACCACAAAAAAGAGCACCAAAGACATGAACAGAGAATGAATAATCAAAGACCGTAAATAAATAAATCAAATGTTAGTATTAGTATATGTATATAATGTATGTAAAATATGTAGTGAAGCGTGGCAAGAGTCTATTTTTAATCGTTCCACAACTTATGAAATAATTTGTATGTGATACTTTATTCTTTTATTTGCTTGAAATAATTACAAAATAGTGTTTCCAGAAAACGAACACCTTTTATTTTGCCCCACTGCTTAAAACTTGCGCAATACCTGCAGCCACATGTGTAGGGCTGTCATTCAATGTATCCAACCCATCACCATTGTCAATAGCTTTTAGAGTTGCAAGTAGCTTTTTTCTATCTTCCAAATGAACCCGAGGTTCTTTCTTCTTCACTTTTTCATTTTTGTCTGTGTTCACTTGAAACTTTAGTTCTTCTGACAAAATATCATTGATAAAATCGACGCCACTGTCCCTGTCAAAGCTAAAGAGAGAATCTTTGAGCTTTGATTCGATCTTCTGAGTTTTCTTGAAAGTTTCTAGAAGGGTGTTGGTGTCGTCTTTATACATTTGAAGTGCTTCTTTTTGAGATTCTATTCTTTCAGAGCATGTTCGTACATTTTCCATAATATCTGAACAGAAGTCTCCAAGTTTCTTGTCGAATTGATCTGTCGTGTTTTTGGTAGCTTTTTGTATGGCTGAATCCAACCCGTCAGTAAGTTTACCTATAGTAACCCCTGAATCGGGACGGCTCTTTTCACTACTGTCTGTTGAGCCTTCGAAGTTATTTAGTGAAACTTCAGATCCACCTGAAATACATAGAAAAATAATAATTTATGAAAGAATGCCGGTTGTAGTTGAATTTGTCAAATGTTACTGAAATTATACAGGGTGTTTCAAATTCCATTGGGATCTCGTAAACTATGAGAGATACGAAGATGGTTAAATTGGGGCAAAGTTGCGCACTGAGTTTGGTTAATTTGAAAAGCTGAGGAAAAAATACGGAGACAGAATGGACCAAGAAACTAAAGAAAATTTGATAAATGAGGTATGTATGAGGTAAGATAGACATTGTATCCTTTTCAAGAAAAATTATTAATTTGCAGATAAACATGAACCCGTGAAAATCTACACGTCAAATTTTCTCCGAAATGAATATTTGTCCTACAAGTACTTGGAGACATCTCAAAAAAAGTGGTTTAAAATGTTACAAAATACACATATGTCAAAAATTGCATCCAGGTGATCCCGAAAGGCGATTAGAATTTTGTCATTGGCTAATACGAAGACCTGATTTTCTTGTTTTCCTGGAAAATGTAATTTGGACAGATAAAAGCATGTTACGAATTGAGGAATATTCAACCGAAATAACGAACAAATTCGGAGCATAAACAACCCCAGGCAGTTCCGAGAAATTCGACCTCAAGTGCGATTCAGTATTCTGAATGGAGAAACCTATCACCAGTTTTCAATGTCGATTTTTAATTTTTTTTTTATTTATTCAACGGGTAGTCCCAATTACAATTTGTTATAAAAAAAGAATTTGTAAAATATTAACTAAACTAAAGATAATAAATACATAATACAATATAAAACACAATACAATAATATAGTGATAAAATCACAGTACAATTCTGATATGGAGCAGATTATTGGTTAATCAGAACCCTCTGATTTTTTAATAAAACAACATATTGAGAGTCGGCGATGGCAGGGCATAGGAGCCTAAAATAAGCCAAAAATATTAAGTATATTTCTATCTCACACAAAGTTGACAAATACTTTCAAAAAATTATTTCCGCTTCTACCATGTGTGCCTGAGGAAGGCACCCAAAAATTCAGTTCAATTGAAGAGCAAAAAGTTGTTCAATAGCTTGATAAAGGAGCCTAAAATTATTGTAAGTTCAAATTTTCCAGAAAGGAAAGTATTTCAATTTGGTTCTGTCAGCTTAATGGTAAAGCTAGCAGAACCCACTGTTGAAAAAAAAAGTAATACAGAGCAATAGGAGCCTAAAAAAACTAAAATTATGAAAGAGCCGTTATTCAACAAAATGTTTTTTCTGTAGTTCGATTCTAAACGATATCTCCGTTAAATATATTATTANTGCCACGGACAGTCAAATTCTACTGCTGCAAGAAACGACTGCCATATTGTATTTTGTATGTACAGTGACTTGTGTGATCAAATGCACATACATCTTATCTTTTTTGACCAATTTAAAGTTCAGTTTTGTTTAGTCATTCTAATAATAAAAAATTCAAAATTACACCTAATACCATTCAACAAAAAAAAACAAGTATTCAAAAAATTTACATATTTTTTCTCTTAGTAATTTGCATTCTACGGCTTTTTGTGTAGTTCACTGAAGCTTGAAATCAGCATTCTAAAATGGATGAAAAATATAAATATATCTTTTGTCGTAACTCTTCACATAGAGTGTAGAATGTTCTTACCTTTGGTTTTCTTTGGTTCGGTAGATGAATCTAGAAAACTCAAATTTTTCTTCGGTGCTTTCCAAAATGATTATAGAAAAATACTTTCCAGATACGATACTCAAGTTGGAGAAAGAGGGTTGAAATTGAGCGGTGGAGAGAAACAAAGGGTAGCCATAGCCAGAGCTATTTTGAAAAATTCTCCTATTTTGGTGTTTGATGAGGCAACAAGTTCCTTGGATTCAATAACTGAACAAGTATGTTGAGTTTTAATTAGTAGAAGATGTATGACTAGAATTTGTTTAGAATTTTCATCCATGCATTTTCGCACATTTTTTTCCAAAATCATCATTCATTCTGATATGTTAAGTAGAAATTTCAAAACTAGCGATCAGTGATGACCTAAAATTTATCGATCTTTTTATCAGAATATCCTGAAAGCTTTGAGGAACGCTACTCAAGGTCGCACAAGCATCTGTATTGCCCATCGTCTGAGCACTATTATGGATGCTGATGAAATAATCGTTTTGGAAAATGGAAAAGTAGCCAATAGGGGTACTCACAACTATCTTATGGAAGACCGGAATGGACTTTACTTCAAGTTATGGGATACTCAGAATCATAAAGGAGATAAAGTGAAAGTTAGTGAAAGTAAAAGATCACATCAAACATTGTAATCGAATTTTTCATTGAGGTCTGACTTGGTTTTTAGATAAAATATTCAGAAAGTAATTTTGTGAAAACTACTATAAGTAATAATTTAATTGTAAATATTATGTAAAGCCATAACATTGGAAGAGAATAAATATGTTTTATTTTAAATAGAAAACTGTATTTTTCCTCACCAGCTTTATAATTTATTTGAACATTTGCCTTTTAAATTTCGTTATTCGATATTAATTTAATAAAGGATTTGAAAAAACTGAAATTTATAGCAAGATTATAGCAAGATTTGACTTCGTAATTATTAGATATTAATTATAAAAGTTTATGGTATCACATGTAACCTAGGTTAATGGACGGCGCTAAGGTTTGGCGACATCGCTTGTGATAGAGATAGTAGGAGAGACTTAGTTCGCTTACCACTTATACATATTTATATTAGGTCATTTTAAAAGTTCTCCGTTTTTGAGTGTACTTTGAACTGTAATATATCAGTGAATACTTATTTAATTTATTTAAAATAAGTGACATTTGAATCAGAAATTTGATTATGTATAATAGCAAAAAATATTTCAATCATCTCCCCTTTTCAATCAGAAAGTTAACATGCTACAAACAGTTTCGAAAAAGAGTAAAAAAACTTCTGCTAGATAAAGCTTAGTATACTATTGAGGGATTTCTTTCGGATGACTTGGCAACTTACAATTCCAACTTATTAAAATTTTTCATCACAGACTTTTACCGTAAACTTTTTGAAGAGTGCGTGAGCCATATTAATATGACCTTTATGTTAATTTTTCGGATTGTTTTAGTTCTTAAGCCTGCTTTGTCAACAAAACCTAAACTTTTATGACAATAAAGCATTTCTGACTTTGACTCATGACTCGACGGCGGGGTCGTAATCTCCCTGACCCCCCCAAGTCTCGTCACTGGCTTTGTTCATCCTTTGTCCAAGTGAACATTGGCTTTAGGAAAAAGGTAAAAATTAAATTTCAAATTGTTAATGTTGTCGAAATATTGTGTTATAAGAGTACACTTCGTTCTGCTGTTCACCTAAAGAAATTTACAAGTTTTGTTTATAACTAGTCAGTAAAACTACCGTTCAACTATATACACTATATGTAAAGGGTATATGATTTAAGTATAGGGACATGATATATCATCTTGAAACATTTTTCATCATCTTTCAATTTATTGAGTAATATACAAGGGGTTTCATTTGAAAAAATTAACTTTTGACCATTTTTATGCATAATGGAAAAATAGTAATTTTAGCACGCCCTGTATGATATGGAGTCGAAATATTAATTTTTCATGAATTGAGACTACTGATGTACTTGAACTCAATTAGGGCTATGTTTTGGACCACATTTAGCACAAATTATTTTTTATGTCGAAAACCGATAGAGATAGGTATAGGACATTATCAACAAAAAAGTATTGAAATGAAAGAGCAATTCCAAAAATGTGTCAACATATGGGGCGTTCTATTTAAAAAAATAAAGTGACTAGGACTTTTTGATAGAATTGGCAACGCCACAATGTTGAAAATTTTTCAGATCAATTGAACAGGTAAGGAAATGTAACATGTGAAATTTTCAAAAATCCTGCATTGCGTTTACCATAAACGTCTAACCTACCATCGACCGTGAGTCACACTGTATAACATATATACAGTAAAACAGTAGCGTCCTCTGTTGGACCAGTCCAACTTTTGCTAGTGTTGTAGTGAAACGTGTTTTGGAAATAAAAACTACATGAAAATTTGTAATTATCATAAATGGTGTTATCGATTTTCACCAAGTAACAGGTCGCTATATTAAAAACAAAATTTTTCTATTTATGAGCTTATTATATCTCTCAACTAACACTTCAATCAAGGTTGCAAACTCCTTTGAAATTATTGATTAAAACAAATAAAGATATGGTATTTCCAAAAAAAATTTTTTTATTTGGTAAATGAAATAAAATATGTTGCATTGAGTTTCACTTACAAATACATGAACTGATAACATTAACTTCTGAATATTCAGAAGACAGTCAGGTAGGATATTATCTTTTGAGGACAATTTTCTTCATGGAAGAATGAGACCTGGAATGTTTGGATGATTGAAGGGTGTCAATTCTAAATTCTAATTAAAATACATTTTTAAAGAAATAAAGTTTATTTGTAAAAAATTTGATATTCCACAACCATAAAAAATATTCTTAAAATTAGTAAAAATTTCTGTTCCTTCAAAATATCACAGAATACTGACCATTTCTGAGCATTCGAGTGACAGGAGAGAAAAAACCATAATTTGTGGAGTGGAACAGTATTTTAAATGTTTCGGTACTGACTCTGGTCTGTCTGTTGACATTCAAATTAATTAAAGATAAAATCTCACAGTTGATGTTGCCAGTTAAAATTTTGCTTAAAAACATACATCTAAAATAATTCTTCTATTCTTTAAAGATAATAGATTCATCTGATCTCTAATGTTGTTGTATGCATATTCTCCCCTTTTTAGACCTAACTTGTAAATGCACAGATCCTCAAGAAAGTGTTTTGTACAGCTTCAATTTGGTTTATGTGTATCTCATAATATGGGAACCAAATTATTGAAGCGTACTCCAATAATGATCTAACTAAGACTATTTGGATGATTACCTTTGGCTAACTACAACATCTGGTTTCAACACGATGGTGCTCCACCGCACACTACCAGTGGAATATCTAATTATCTTTTTGGGTACACTTTAAAATAGAGTTTATGGTCAGAGGAAATATCAAAATATTGAGGACCTTCAACACAGCATTGTTAGAGAGTTCGGAAAATTGAGGAGGAGGGAAATTAATCGTGCAGTGAATAATATTCGAAGAAGGGCACAGTTGTGTTATCATGAACAAGCATTTTGAGCATTTGCTGTGATTTGCTTTTGTCTTCACATTTTAGTTAATTATTATTATTTGTTCAAAGTTCTATTTTCATTGAAAAAGACACAATGTCTAATTTATCTCATACATACCTCATTTATTTTGATTTTGATTCAATAACTTGAACATAGTTCGATGTGGTTGTCGTCTTTCCGGATACAAGTTTAAATATATTTCCGATGTCCTAACACTGTTTCTATCGTATTTGTAATAAATTTGTATCATTACTCTTTTTTTCTTCATTCGTGAAAGCCATTTTTCGCCAAAAATTCAATGACTTGTACGATAACAAAATGTCATTGAATGTAACAAATTGAAAGTCAAATTTACAAACATCAAAATCGAAGCCTATTATGATGAGAATTTTTTTCAATATCTCCAAATTTTCGAAAAAAAAAATGATAACCTATGATACATCATAGCCGGAAGACGAAACGTCGGATAGCAAATCTGAAAACAGAGAAAAGCAGAGAAGAAGTGGCAATGTGGAAGTGCAATTTATTTTTGAATCCTTCGACAAATGAAGCAAGAAAAAAATAAAAACCATTTTCCGAAATTTCTGTTTTTTTCCAGATATCTCCGGATATACTTGGAATTTAAGAACTTTTTCAACGGCATATTGTTAGTCAGGTAAATACGCAACTTTGCCCCAATTTAACCATCTTCGTATCTCTCATAGTTTCCGAGATCCCAATGGTGAGGATCGAATTTGAAACAGCCTGTATACTGAAAAATTATTTTTTGAAACACAATATGCTGTTTGATATCTAGCATCATGTATGTGATATCACGCAAGTTGCTTCCTGCTGTCTGTCCCTATGTATGCTTAGATTTTTAGAACTACGAAACGGATTTTTATGCGGGTTTTTTGATATAGTGACTCAAGAAAGTTTATATGTATATAACATGCATAATATAGTAGAGAAACACTGATAATTTTAGAGGTTTCTAATGTGATGTAGTAAATTAACACATCTTTTTGCACTTACATTGCAAATGATGGCTGAACTCCACGTGATAGATCAAAAAAATTCGTGATGGTATATGTTATCTCTTAGGGATAACCCACAATCACCATTTTTTATCGCCTAGAAATAATGGCTTATTTATGGAGCGATTTTAAGCAATACAGCATTGATCCTTATCCAAGTAAGTACTTCGCAGTTGTTGGTTCACAGATGGGTCAAAAACATCTTCTGGTTCTGGTGCAGATGTTTTCAGTCGCAAATCCAGGACAGATATATCAACCTGCCTAGAAACCTATGCGACTATATTTCAAGCGGAAATTTACGCTATTGAGTTGTGTGCGAAGAGATTGGAAGAATCCACCTCATACAAAAGTCAATAAAAATTTTCTGGGACAGTTGGGCGGCGTTGAAAGCTCTTGGCTCCTACCGAGCAACGTCTAAATTGGTGCAAATTGCCAAAAACGACTCTCCTCGATAGGAAGACTTAACAGATTGTCTCTGGTATGGATTCCTGGCTTATCGGACCAGAGCCTGTCATTGGCATCGCTTTATGCTTTGCCAAACAAAGATTGAACACTGGATGGCAATAAGATTTATTGACTTCTGGCAGAATTTTCCAGGATTGGCTCACTCCAAGGCGTTTATTCACCCTTCGAAGCTTGATACCAAACAGTTATTGGACTACAGTACGGATGAACTACGATGTCTAACAGGTCTTCGTACAGGTCACTATCATTTGAATCATCATATGCAGAGACTCCGACTGTCTAAAGACCACTCACCATACAAACTAATTGGCTTAGTTAAAAAGCTGGGTTTATTTGGTCGAGTGTGGTGAGCCACAATAAATCCTTGCGGGTTGCGGCAGAGGGTCGAATAGACCTACTCACTTTGGACCTAACCTAACCTAAGTACCTTCGCCCTATAACATTTTATGATTAGAAGCAATCGCACGCGTTAAATAAGAGCATTGCACCAGTTCGGAGCCAAGGCGAGTCGCTAGTTAGCTATAAGTTCTAAAAATGCTATTAGTTACAAATGGTGATTTTCAACACTTAGTTCCTAAATTATATCCATTCAACAAACAAAGTAACCCAAATAAAGATAGATGCGTGATCAAAGCATGGTCACCACGCACATTTGCATCTATTGGATAAAATAAACAAGCCTCCTTACGCTGGCCAATCAGATTCGACTGCAATCAACTGGTGGAATTCATTGTTACAGTGTGGGAGTAGTCAGTTACGCTTTAACGCCTGTGATGTGTACATATTTAGTTTAAAATTTTTAAAATGTCAAGTACTGATACGGCTGAAGAAACTGCTAATTTGTGTACCTACACTCCACCTTAAACATTTTCCTATACCCAGCCGCATATTATAAAAAAAATAAAAATCGGTCGTTCCTTAGTGCGACTGTGTACAAGCAGCCTTGTCTGGGAGATTACGTGCAATATGCATGAAAATGTTTTAGAGCACTCCATTGCTTAGATGAAGAGAGTATAATAAAATAGAGGTGTAGGGAGAAATTTCATTTCAGTTATCCACCCAGTCAGTACACATCAGCCTTTCAGGCTGAAGTGTATGCAATGTACAAGGAACACTAATTTGATGCCTCAATGAAATGAGCAGATGAATATTTTCACAGGCAGCCAGGGGTGCAACCAAATCAAATTGAGTCTACAAAAACATAAACAGTACTGAGAAAACACACACGGGAAAACCTTTAAAATGGGACCGTCCGAGAATAGAACCGAAGAACTGCTTCAACAAAGGGGAAATCAGCTTAGCACAATTACAAGGCTACTCATTGGACACTGTCCATTGAGAAGTCACCACAACAAAATAGGTTTGTACAACGGAGACCTCAAATGAAGGTAGTGCCACAAAGATACAGAGACAACTGTTATATTGTATGTGAATATGAGGACTGGATCACTGATGGCAAACAATTTATGGACAACCGAAAGTATGTACAGTATTTACAACTCTACAACTCACCCTCTGAAAAATTGCTATCACCACTTCCTTCACTTTTAGTTCTAACTGAAGCTCCAGATAACCGGTTTTTAATATTTTCTGATGGAATCGCTAGAATCCCATTGGGCTTTTTAGTTTCCTCCATTTTGAATTTAATAGGTTCCAATTTTATGTCAGTAACAGGAGTTTTACTTGTAACTGATTCTGACACGTCCTCTATTGTTCCCAGTTTTTCCGTACTAAGTGTTCTAATTGGATGGTATGCTCCTAAGGTTACCATAGAAATTGACTGTTGCCCGAGACGAGAGAATCTATTTTTTCTTGGATGGACTACATTTTCTTTTGTCTGAAAGATAGAACAATCATTTTACAAAATATCAAAGTTATTCTTACAACTGGAATATCGAATAATTTATCATTTATTGGCGGGCAACGTTTAAGGTGTTCATGATTTTTATTTAATTACATTTGAAGTGTATTACTAATTTTTCCCAATTTGTAAGTAGGAAATTGTTAAAAATGATAACATTTAAAAAAAATACTTTTGGCAAAACTATATACCTTCGAATATTCTCATTAAAATGTACTTGATGCAAACCATCTTTCTTTTTCCAATTTTTTATATGGAACATATTTGCTTTTAGTGTTCTGTCAAGTGAATATTTAAACCAAAACTTTCATAATTGCTGGATAGGTCGTGGAGGAACAGATTTATGGCCAGCTATATCTCCAGAGAACAGTCTCGATTATTTTCTTTGGGGACATATTAAGACAAAAGCACTACCAACAGGCAGATTTAATTAGTCTAGTTGAAAGTACGGTTCATAGTGGCTAATAAGGCGACAGATATTTGAGTATTAGTCGAAGTTCAGTTAGACTTTTTGTGTTGTATTGGCAGTACCTATAATACTGAAATAAAGTTGAGTTTGATGGTATAGTTTGGTCAATTTTTATCGAACCTACGAACAATTTATACCGGATCCTCTAATTCCAACTGTGTTATAGAGGGCGCTAACATCTGAATTCGTTTCGCCAATAGTAAGAACTTCTTTGAAAATCAACATAAAATATACCTTTAATTTTTCAATTAATGATTGCTTTGCCACTATGTATTAAACTTCAAACATTTCGTTTCAATAAAAGCATATCTGCAGTGAATGATAATTACCTCCAAAAGCGCTGACAGTCTATCTATTTCTGATAAAGCCCTATCCAACTCTTTCTGGCACTGTTTGTGCTTCGCCATCTCTGCATTCATTCTTTGTTTCGAAGTTTTGCTTTCCAATATCAACTTTCTGCTTAATATTGAATTCTGGTCATCAGATTTTTCCAACTTTAGTTTCAGTTCCTCGATTTGATCCAGCATCCTCTCTCTATCTAAAAGTCGTTTATCCCTAAAAATATAATCAATATGTTTTACAAAAAAAGCCACTGCAATATCGATAGGAACGAAGGAGCAAGCTGATTAAGTATATCTAAAATTACAATTGCTTTCTTTTATATAGGAATGCTTTCTTTTATAGGTATTTATACCTATTACTGGATTTTAGTCTCAACACGTAAACTGTTATTGTAACACCTCGATACGTTTTTCAATTACCAAGTGATCAGAGGAAGAATAATCTTCCTCTTGAAGATGATCACTAAATATGAATGTGTTGAAAATAACAGGTTGGTGTTGGGATTAAACTCCAGTAATATTCAATACTACACCAAAGGTTCCAAACAGTGCATTACAAGTATTTATACCTGTTCAGTTTTTCGAGATGGCAAAGTTTTTCATGAGTTTTGGCAAGTTCTTCCTCTTTCACTTTCAAAAGATCATTGAGTTCTTTGATTGTTTTTCTCTGAGACTTGTTCTTCTCACTCAGAAAGCGGATTTGCTCTTCATGTGAATGAATAAGGCGTGGAAGATCTGCATTCGTATTTTCATACCTTGAAATAATGATATTGATTTACAACTAGACAAAAATAATATATTTTCCTGGGTATTGAATATCTATATTAAGTATTATATTATCAATCTGCATGAGAAATTAAAAATTACTCTTACTTTGATAATGCCTTATCTTGGCGTTTCTGGAGGGTTTTTAAGATTTGATTTTCTTTACTCAGTTCCTAAAATAGAAAAAAAAATAATTTTTAGATTCATTTTATATCAACTTTACAAAATTTTCATAAAAAATAACTTTTTACAAAGAGAAAGATGCAATGTTATAACTTATTCTGTCAATATTACGTTGTGGAAAAAACTGAATATGTTTATGTTGCTTGTGATATCCCTGGTTCAAATCTCGTACAATAAAACGATTCTTTAAGAACACAGTTGAAATTAGTCAAACGTTTTTTTTTTCACTATTTTTAGCCCAGATTTTCATTGTCAATTTTTACCTTAATAATAACTAATTGTACAATCATGAATTCAAATTCTTGTCAATGACTCATAGTAATACTTACTGATAAGTGGTAGTTAGCATCATTCAATTGACTCTGAATAGACCTGAGTTTTAATAGTTTTGCTGACAACACCCTTTGGCGAACAGAGTTTCCTGTACTTTTTGAATAGCTTTGTCTCACGGGGTACATGAGAGGATTTGCAGGTTTTCTTCTTTTCAAGTAACAGCTAGAATTTGAGGTGCAGACCGTGTCACAACTTTTACTCCTTGAAAATAAAAATAGAATATTAGTGCAGAATGAAACAGAAGATATTGAATTTTCGTAAACAAAACCAAATGTGGAACACCAAAAACGTTCATTTTTGATGATGTAAAACTCCAGATACTGTTACACTCCAAAAAGTTGATTTAGGAACTTGAAACGTCTCCGAAATGAGCTGTTATTATCTATCCAAAATCTATGTTGAGATTCCACGAATTTCATTCAAAATTTGACTTTTCATTTTCAATTGCTGAGTTGTTGATAATTTGACTGAAGATGCTACATGAAACTCATAGTTCATAATGGAAACATTGGTACTTACCTGTGGTCTTCAGATTTAGTAGATTTTGGAACAGATGCAGAACTGCTACAGCTAGTCATTGTGTTTGTATATCGTTTCAGAATAATAAATAAAATTCAATCAAAAAAGTATAAAACATCTACTTTCAATCAGAAACTGCAATGCAGAAATGTCATGTTTGTAATTACCCTTCAAATACCGTTACTAGGGAAACGATTTCAATATATTGATAGAATTTTGAAAGAAAGCTACACCTAAGTACATGGTGATTCAAAACGGTAGAAGATTGAAAAATTCAAAATTAATTCTGAGATAAATATAGTCAGAACGAAGAAAATCTAATAAATATTCAATATTCCTCTTGTGATACGATATTATCTGATGTAACCCAAATACAGGTAAATTTAAAGAGACATCCAGATAACAGGAGATGACAAATACCTGCACTAAGACGTTCTAACCGTATAAAAGAACAAACAAGAAGATAAAACGTTATACTGTAAATGTGTTCAATACAAATATAATATTTATAGTTTTTCATTATTTATCGGGTTTAGAAAAAATTGCGTATGCAACTCTCATGTAATGGTTATTAATACACTCGCATATACCATACAAAACTCGCCTTCGACTCGTTTTGTATCCCGGTTAATGCTCGTTTCTTACTAACCATCATTACATGATCGTTGCATAATATACTATTTATAATTTCACAAATAAAAGTACTGTTGACAGCTGTCAGAACAAAAAGCAAATTGATAAAAAAAAATAATTTTGTGGAATGAGATTCTGTTTGAAGTTAATTTGATCAGTAAAAGCATTCAAGGGAAAGGGGTAGACACCAGTGATAGTTTTGAGAGGTTTAACAAGTGTTTGGAGTTTTCAAACAGATTTAGATAGAATGGATATGTAGCCGCAGTAATCTCAGCTGAAGAAATAGCAGCCGATCTTGCGTTCGTAAACGGTATCGCTTTTTTGTGTGAGTCTTCTGAGGAAGTGCAATCGTCATCTGAAGAAACCTTTACGAGAACTGCGTTGAAGGAACATCGAGAAATGTTGATGTTGCTCAACTCTCAGGAAAAGAAGATCCAAAACAAAATTGCTTGGACCTTGAAAGCAATTTATCTGAAGAAACAACCAAAGTGTCTAATATGAACGGTATTGAACTTTATCATGAACTTCTACATGTAATTATGATGTACTGTTTGGAACCTTTGGTGTAGTAATGAATAATACTGGAGGTTTTCCCGACACCAAATCGTTATTTTTACACCTTGACACGTGTTTCGATCACAAAGTGATCATGTTCCTCTTGAAGTTGATCACTTGGTGATCGAAACACGTGTCGAGTTGTAAAAATAACGATTTGGTGTTGGGAAAAAACTCCAGTAATATTCTACATGTAAGTTCGATTTTTGATCATGGAAACAAAGAAAACATCAAAGTTACACTGAAAGAACTATTATGTAAGATCAAAACCACAAACAGTACAGATTTGTTCCCAAACTTATGGATCACGCTAAGAGTGTTACTAACAATACCCGTGACAGTTGCTAGTGCCAAACGGAGCTTTACTAAACTTAAGCTTATAAAAACGTATTTGCGCTCTACATTTTTTTCCAGTGCCATTCTTTGGAAATCTCTTGGAATTTTTGATTACTAAGAAAAAGTACAATATTTCCTTATTATAGAAATAGTCAACTTTGTTGAAGATTTTACAAAGGAAGAAATATTTTTTAGACTATTAATTGTCTATCATTTTGTGGTAAACAAAATTTGTAGATGATAATCCTGAATTTCATCTCAAAACTCGCAACTTTCTACATGGAATGTCAATTCATTTGGAAGTTTCATAATGAACTTGAAACTCTTCCTTATCAGAATTACAACTTAGTCTTGCAAAATATCAAGATGAATGACAGAATGATTGCTATAGTAAAATTTGAATTCGACTCTCAATATCAACAGCAAAAATTGGGGATTTTTTGTTGTTGTTCGACTTATTGGATTTGAGTAATATAGTCGTTTGTAAATTAGGTTTGAAAGAAAAACTGGCAATACAGCCAATTAATCTTGCATAGCAGCAATAATATTGGCCAATGCAGTCCTAGCATCTGACTCTGGTAGCTCATTTAATACCTCTAAAGCAGCGTTGGAATGTTCTCTCTGCAAATTTTTCGTCATTTCCAATGAAGGTCCATCCAAAACCCTTCTACGAAGTGCATCATAGTCAACTTTTTTGACGTCATCCAGACCTATTGAGACACAAAATCATTAAAACATTATACCACAGTTGAATTTTTTCATCAACAAAGTAGGTGGCTTACATAACACAAAAAATTGACTATGTAGTGTATGGGTTCCTTTCAAAGAACAATAAAAAACAGAAATACTATAAATAAAATCTACAACAGGTACAAATGAATCAATAACTAAACTGAATTGATTATTTTTCTCAATCAAAACAAAACAATAATAAATTGAAAGGAATACAATTTTAGGACAGATCAATTTTTGGGAATGTTTGGAGTACAAACTGAACAGAGAAAAGTGTTTTTGTATAATTCAGTGTTCATATAAAAGTATTTGTTTCGAAAGAATTCTTCTTTCGTGTAATTCAATGTTTATATGAAAGTAGTTGTTTTGAGAGGACTTTTTCTTCCAGTTTGTGTCTGGAAGTTACTTCTTTGTTTGATCTACACATCTTTGTGAGGATTTTATTTTGAATTCAATTGACTCAAATAATTATTATTAATCTAAAGAAATGATCTTCAAAAGTTCGCTCCAACTTAGGAAGAGGAATGGAATAATCTGAAAGAATTCCGATTTTCAATTATGGAATATCACTGACTTCAGGTCGATGATGGCCACTATCTTGCACTGACGAGTGGCTAATGAGCTCGAAACCGATCTGCATGTGTACCCGTTTAAAAATTGAAGGTCGACTCTTTCAGTTGTATTGCCAATTGCATATGCAGGAAATTTTCTATGAAGATTCCTGCACTGACGCCTGTCGAATATAATATAACGTCCTTCGTGGTATTAGCCAGGGGAGTAGTTATTTTCTGATAGGCGTCAGTCCATTCAATCTACTGTGTACGTATATCCAAGACTGGCTTGAACATTTAAAGTTCATTTCTTTAGATTTGTTAACTGCCAGTCTTCAAGCATAGCCCACTGACTAATAAGAAAGTTTTTCTTCCTTATTCAGAGGAATCGGGCAAATTTCGGATATGCCGATGGTTAGTCCCTCATCCACTAGATGGAGTGACATTTTGTTATTCGCTCCAACTTAGGAAGAGGAATGAAATACTCTGAAAAAATTACTATTTTCAATTATGGAATATCATTGACTTTAGGTCGATGATGGCCACTATCTTGCACTGACAAGTCGCTAATGAGCCCGAAACCGGTCTGCAAGTGTGCCCGTTCCAAAATTGAAGGTCGAGTCTTTCAGTTGTATTGCCAATTACATATGCAGGAAATTTTCTGGAAAATTCCTGCACTGACGCCTGTCTGATATAATCCAACGCTCTTCGTGGTATTAGCCAGGGGAGTAGTTGTTTTGTGATAGGCGTCAGTCCATTCAACCTACTGTGTAGGTATATCCGAGAGTGGCTTGAATGTTTAAAGTTCATTTCTTTGGATTTGTTTACTGCTAGTCTTTAAGCATATCCCACAGACTAATAAGAAAATAATTATCGAATTAAAATATATAAAAACAATTTAGAGAGTTTTAATCTTTCAGAATACCTTCAGATATCACTAATACAATACAGCCTTCAGAAAATTTAATTTTATGTTTGTCTGCCTTGAAACTAATCCTCGAATTTTTATTATTCATACATGGTTTACTTATAGAAAAATTTACTGACTTATCATGCCAAAAGCAAACCCTAGACTTTCACATAACACATGAAGAGCTCATGGGATTTATTAATTCATCACAATTCATGAAAACAGTTTCCTGGTAAGGACCTTTCATTTATGCTCTTGAACATTTTAGTGATTTTATTATCATTTTTTATTCTCCTTTTTTCTGAAGTTTTCAACTCCTCGTATACTAACAGAGGAGAAGAAAGTCATAAAGGATTGTATACATGTTTCAATGATTGAACCATTATTTTTGTATGAAGTATATTTTTATAATAGTTTCCACACTTCTTTTGAGAAACTGAGTCAAAAGAGCCAAATATTTAGATTTTTTCAAGTTCAATTGAAAGTTTTTGAGATATTCATCCTGTAATATCTCAGGATAATAAAGATAATCTTAGGATAATGTTTCCGGAGATGTTTTCAATGAACAAGACAAATTGCAGGAAAAATATTAACCCAATTTACTCATTTTTTATTAAAAGCAAATTCAGTAAACCAACATCTCAAAATTTGAATTAAACATACCACTAAAACATACCTTTTTCAATCAGGCTATATATCGATGGATCATGCTGAAGGGCAAAAAGAACTGGAGCACTTATAAGGCTGTAGTGACCCGTTGAACCAGAAGCAAAAGGTTCCCTATCCAGACATGCTTGCCAGGCTAATGCTAGGTGTTTTCCAAATAAGTATCCCTTTTGCTGAATCTCCTCAGGATGTCCAGCAAGTTTCAATGTCCCTTGGCAGGATTTACCCAGCAAACTTCCTAAAAAAATAGAGAAGAAAATTATATAATCATATCATAGGAACTGGTAATAATAAAATGATTAATTACACATTTCCCCTGATGTTCAGCTTACAGAGGTAATGAAGTGAAAGTGAAGCCATTTTCAATTTCTTTGAAATGTTTTCACCAATATCAGTGAAGGGGAGAGGATGAAGCTGCAGTAATTCCGTTATTTTATAAAGGGCTTGTCATGCCATGACACCAAGGAATGACAGTTATTTTCGTTAGATTTTTATGAATTGTATAAAGTATATAGACCTGCATTTAAACACATATATTTGTATCAAATTTGTTATACTTCAGTGTCTTGGAAAAAAAAACTATTACTGATTTTATCATCTTGCTTTGTCAATAAGAATTAAAGTTCTTGAACAATAAAGATCTACTCTACTCTACTCAATTATTTCTTAATAGAAACTTTATCAGCATCAATGACATCTCACTTGCGTGAAAGTACAACATACAAATTCGAACCTGCATTCAAAACATGTCTCAAAGTCCACTCTGCTGCTGCATTGCCTAATGCTTCACTCACTACCAATGGCTCCAACGTGCTATCTACAAACTGCTGATAACCTTTGGCTTCTTGCTTCGGTTTTGCAGGCAATGGTGCATTTTGTACATCTCTTGGTTCAACAAACTCTGCTTCTGCAAGATCACGAACAGCAGAACTCATCAGTTCAACGAGTTCTTGGTTCTTCAAGTTGGCCAACTCTAGGCAACTATTACTCAGCAAATAGTCTCCAGAAAGAAGCGCAATTTTATTTCCAACTATCATATCTCCTAAAAAATAAATAAATATATGACAACTATAGTAATTGAGAAAAGATACAGAAACACTCAAGATTTATTGAGATTTAACAGTAGAATAAATATATACTTTAATATCAGCCTTAAACTTGAATTAGGGTATATCCGTAAATTCCATTTTCCTCAAAACAAAAAGAATCTTCCTCTACACTTACACAATAATAGGTTAAATAAATCTCAAAGTAACATTGGATCTAAAGAAGTAATAATCATGTTATCACAAAATATAAAGAGAAAATATACTTCACTACATAGTATAAAACAAAGTCGCTTGACGCTGTCTGTGCCTATGTGTGCTTAGATCTTTAAAACTACGCAATGGATTTTTTTGCGATTTTTTCAATTGATAGAATGATTCATGATTGGAAGGTTTACAAGTATATAACATGCACGATATAGTAGAGCAACACTGATAACTTTTGAGGTTTCTAATGTGATGTTGTAAATAAACCCATTTTTTTGCGCTTATATTGAAATCGCTGGCTGAACCCTAAGATTAAGATAAAAAAATGTTCTACAGAACCATACACCTTGAAAAGGTCTACAAAAAAGTCCCTGTTGGTATATGTCTATCTCTCAGGGATAACCCACAAAAAACATTTTTTTATCTTAAATACATTTTACATTTAAGTTAGATAAATATGGCCCTTTACAGCATGATATTTAAATGAATATTTTCGAATATATTACAGATCGAAAATGCAGGGACAGGTTGCGGCGGTAACGGCCGGGGGGCGGCGCGCGTGCCTATAAATAGCACTTTGCTTTATAAAACTTTATGATTAGCAGCGATCTCACACGTTTATATGTATATTTATGTATCAGCATTGCACCCGTGCGGAGTTGGGAAGGGTCGCTAGTAGTTTATAAATTTGTTTATTTCAATAGACCTTCAAATTTTTATATTTTGTATAACATATGTAAGTACCAGTTGAAAGTGAAACTATTTCATTTCAATTTGATTATATTTTATATTTCTGTTTAGCCATTAGACACTAGTGTATGAAGTACATCTACAGCTTTCCAGAGAAGCTTTACCTATACTGCTATTAAACAGTTCAATTCTATCCTTATTCAGAATAGGGACTCAAGTTTGAGAGTCTATAAAAAGTTTATAAAAAAGTCCTTATTGTCTGCACAGTAAATAGTGTAAGCAAATATTGGTCAAACAAACATAGTTATGTCATGTCTTTTCGTTATCAATTTATTTTTTTAATATTGTAATTTATAGGGACATATTGTTATCAACTCTAGATTCGCAAAAAGGGGTTAGATGTGAGAGTAGCTGAAGGCTAAATCTCGCCTCGTGATGTTCAAGCAAGAAAGAGATTATCTATATTATTTCTTTGAATAACGCGATAATTTGTAATCTATACATAATAAAGACTACATTTTTTTTTCACCTTAGTGTTTGCTGGTCAGGCCCTATCCTCCGAAGCCCCGATACATTCCAGAGGGCGCGCCAGCATTATCAACCAATGACCACTCCGCACACCGTGGGGTAAGTAATCATTGGATCCGAGAATCATGTGCCCTGAGCAAGCGCAGTGAGCCAAGAATGACAGCCTTCTGCATATGTGCGGCTAAGATTTCTGCCTTAGTGCGGCAAGCCGGTATGATTTTAAGATTCGAGAGTAGAGAGGACTCCAATAATCAGAACAACCATCATGACAGAGTGATCTGGATAGAGTCTGCGGAGTTCGAAGAGAAAATCTCGATATTTTATCCGTTTTTCCTCCTCTTTTCTGACGACATTCGTCTAGCCAGGAGCTGAGAACTCCACGACAAATATCGCTTTGCTCTGGTGGTCCAGAAGGACTACATCAGGCTTATTTGCTTGTATGAGCCTGAGGGTGGAGAACGAATAGTTCCAATAAATTCGGCACTTCTCGTTCCCCACAACGGATTCAATATCCCCCGGAGTGTAGGGCAACACCGGTGTCTCGTCAATACCGTAAGAGTGCCGTAGATGGTAATGTAGCACTCTTAGGGCCGCGTTATGTCGATGGATATAGGTTGAGACTGCATATGCTGGACATGCTGATAGCAAGTGCATTAGAGTCTCGGGCGCCTCGCGGCAGGCCCTGTACCTTGTGTCAGGAACCTCTATATCCATCACGCGACTGCGGTAGACTAAGGTGTTGAAGACACCATCCTGGCAAGCCATGGAAAGCCAAATTATTATTATTATAAGACCTCTGGTTCTTTGGGCAATGAAGCATAATTGTATCATTCTCATTATTTTGATTTCAATGAAATATTTAATAATGAAAAAAAAACATTTGATTTATTAAAAATTTCAGAGATTGCTCACCTGGAGCATCCACCTTAACTGGAGGTTGCATATTCACCATACCCTTGTGGACCAAATGACTTGTTCTTATCATTTCTGTGACCTCAGCTAAAGCCCTCTGACTGTGAAGTACCCCTGCAGATTTGTCTTCTTCCATATCTGGTATATCGGGAGAATGGCCAGCAGCTTTAGAGACTAAAAGGACAATCAGTCCCCAGGCTTGCATGTTGTTTTTGCCATTGAAGAACAAACCCCTACATACCAACATAGAAATGATGTATCAGATGTGTCCATTACTCTTCTCTTAAAAGTCTTACAAAATATGAGAAGTATATTTCATATTAATACAGAATCCATCAAATTTGAAGGCGTGTAAATACATTACATGTATGTATGTATAACAGTATATGATCCATTCGTGTGGTTATTATTCTTTATCATTCAGAGAAAAAAATTACTTGAAACCTGTAGTTGTAAGCTAATAATACTGAAACTTGCAAACTTACAGTTACCAAGAAATGTTCACTTGAAATGAATATGAAATTACTCTGAATGATTTTCACCATTGTAAAACATAAACTTTCTACTTTCAATTTGAAAGTATATTATAATCACTATTTTATAAAAAACGCAGGGTTGGACAATTCAAGTGAAGGTTCAAAAATAAAACAGTATGACAAAATATCATCACAAAATAATTAGTTATTTTAATGAAATTTGCATCCATACTCTACTAACCCACATTTATTTACTAACAGAAACTGAAACAGCTGAATTTTATTTCAACTAAGGATAAAATAATGTACCAAACATTGATTTTCTGGGGTAACATATTGATCAGAAATTAAATTTTTTTTACAAAAATTATTTAGAGAAAAAAATTATATCTGGAAAAATATTTTCGGCTTTCTACTTCTGTAGAAAAATAAAGCAAATAAGATCAAAGAATTTGAATAAAAAAATGTGCAAGAAATGAATTTGAGTGCTCAAAAACACATGAAATGTTGACAGTGGCATACGGCGATTGTACTCTAGAGTCAGAAAAGTTTTTGCAAGTGGTACAAGCCTCTCACAGAAAGTCGAGAAGATGTGAATGATACCTCATCACATCAATAACCACTAAAAATGTTAAGAAAGTGAAGAAAATTGTTATGGAGAATTGTCGAATGACCATTAGAGGAGTTGCTGAGGATTTCGGCATATTGGTTGGCTCACGCCATGCGATGCTTTTGTAAATTTTGGGCATGAAGCGGTGACAGCGAACTTAGTATCAAAATTGCTTAAGTTTGACTAAAATACCGTTGATTGACGTCAACGGCGATACAGATTGGCTAGAAAAAGTCCATAACTGGTGACGAATCATGGGTTATGGTTATGAGATCGAAACCAAAATCCAACTGTCCCAATGGCAGGGTACAGGAGAGTCCAATATCAGAAAAAGCACGCCAAGTTCGATCAACTGTCAAGATTTTGCTCACAGTTTTTTTTTTCGATTACCGTGACGGAGTGCGTCAGGAGTTCTTACTATAGTCGTACAGTCAATAAGGAGTAATATACTAACCTTATGCGCCGCTCGAGAGAAGCAATGTAACCGTGGAAAAACAATTAATGGATCTTGCAATCACGATAATGCACCTACTCACTCGTCATCATGCCTCAGCCACCGTATTCATAGGATTTGGTCCCCTGCGACTTTTTCCTGTTCCCAAGATTGAAAAGACCCATGAAAGAATGGCGTTTTGCGACGATTGAGGAGATGAAAACTGAATCGCTGAGAAAGCTCAATGACATACCAGGAAGAGCATATCAGAACTGCTTCGAGGGTTTGAAAACATGCTGCACAAGTGTATTGTACCTGAGACTGCTTTGAAGGGGACATAATATAAATTGATGAATGAACACATATTCTCATGAACAAAACTGATTACAAGATTTCAATTTTTTCTATATATCTATATTGAAGATCATATTTTTATGTTTCTGGCATTTCTCTAACCTTTTCTAGTGGGAAAGAAAAAAGTAATATTATTTTTTACAAATCAAGTCCCATATTTTGTAGGTCATACATTACGTTCCTAAATAATAAAAACGAAAAAAAAATCCAATGACATGTTTTGTATGTTTCTGATATTCTTTCTTGCATTTTTGAAAACTTATTTATCATTCTCTTCTGTTAACAACAGGTGGTCTCATATTTTGTAGGTCACAAATCGCTTGCTGAAATAATGATAACCAGGACCATAAATTTTACTTTCATTATTGTATTTCTGGTATCACTATTGCGTTTTCTAAAAAAATTCTCATGAGTACTTATGATGAATATGTTATGCTCATTCACCATTCAAAAACCTTTATGACAGAAATGGGGACACTCTTGTTTTCAGTAACCGGGTGTCTCATATTTTATAAGTTTCAAATTGGCCACCGATATGATGATAATGATACACATAAAATTCAATATCATTATTTTTGTGATTCTGGTACCATTATTCCTTTTTTGAATTATTTCATAATTGCAATAATGAATATGATTCCCTTTTTTTGATTACAGGTCTTTCCATATTATTGAGTTTTTGAAAAAGTTTTTGATGGATATCATAAATAATAATCTTTGTCTCTCAAATTACGATTGTCCCATATTTTGAGTCATAAACTGCTTGTTGAAAAATAATAATATTGCCAAATAACTTTAAATTCATTTGCGTTCCTGGTATTTTTCATTGTTTCTGAAAACTATCCTTTTGATAGCAGAGGTTGCTATAGTTGGAAAAACGAGTATCTTACATCAGGATCGATATTTGGATGAACTCATCATGCTCATCCTTACTTCAACTTCACTCAGTTGAAAATTCTTATCTTCTTTTGATATTATGATACATTTTCAAATAATTACAGGAGATGAAAAGTCTATTTCTATTAAATTTCATTTTCACTGAACTTACTTTGCTGTTTTGAGAAGAGGATGATTGGATCCAACCAATTTTCTAAGCTGCAAAGCTACATTCGCAATTTCATCACTTAAAAGCCATCGTAAACTTAAAAAGGATGTAGGATACCCTACGATTTTCTCCGCTTCACTGACAGCCCTATTCCAGTCCGGTTTTTTTGCATACCGGGAATTGGAATAACTCAACTGCCTCCTGTCAAGATTCACTTTATTCACAAAAGCACTTACACTAGGAATGAGTTTGACATTTTTCAAACTGAAAGATAACTTGGAAAGAGACATTTCTTAAGTGAAAACTTGGGTCTATAACTGACAATACCTACCTACCTAATAGTAATAAAACTAGTCTTATGAAAGAATGAAAGCAGATGCCAAGGTAAGTGAAAGTTATGACCTACATTATAAAAAATGTGAGTGCAGGATACTTTTAACAATCATTTAATTTTTGTTCCTAACTCGAATTTCAAACAATTCACTTTTGAAAATACAAAGTATTTCTATGATTGTGTCTAGGCTTTCGGCAACGGTGTTGTTACCCGTAACAGTGTGAACAAATAATAATACAATAATAAATAAAATAATAATACTAAGGTGTCAAAAGTTGTATATTATTTAAGGTACCTATTTATTATAGTGTCAACTGACAGATTAAATGTGATAGGCGACAGAAATTGAAAGTGACAAACATTTTTAAAACGGTTATTTTGATATAAAAAATGACGATTGACAAGTAATAAAATTTTGCAATTACTGCCCTATACCTACAACATCCAAATATATATACATTTTAGTACCTATTATACGTTACCTTTCCTTTTCATGGATATATGATAAATAGACAAGAAGTATAACTTACTCCTCTATCAGAGATTATTTATTTTCCTCATAGGTAGACCTCGGCATAAAGTTAAATCTATGGGGAACTTTTCTTTGAATTATGAATTTGTCGTCGAAAGCTCATGCTACAGATGAGTAAAATGTCTTTTCTATGTGCTTGTGCTTATGCTATACACAGATTAGATTTCTGTTTGGCGAGTGAGCATATGCCATGGGCGTACTTACGCGGCTAAATTAAGGTCCACAAAAATATCAAAAACTATAAAATAATCCGAAATAATTTCGAAAATCAAAAATATATTCGAAACAAAAATATTAAAAATAATTCATTAATGATTTTGGACATCACTCACATTGGACATGGACGTTACGTAGGTAGCGGTGATGCTTCTACCAAAAGTGCATGCGTGTGTGTGTGTGTGTGTGTGTGTGTATGAGCGGGTAAGCGTGTGTTAAATCTGTTACATTAGATTTTTCGAATGACTTATTTGTAATACTTATCTGGTATACTAAATAGATGTTTACAGAAATAAATACTTTGTATTAAAAAACTATATCGACGGCTTTGATTTTCTCTATGTAGAAAATGACCTTATATATATTATCGAAAAAATAGCTGTTCATGACGCATTCAAATCCATTCATGCACCTTAATGGCCTTAATATTGCGTAAATGGTCTATTATACACTGGCAATATGTCCGATTAGGATGAGCCATTTGGTCTTATACTAGAACTTTGAAGTACCTAAAACCTTGAGAAACTTATCAAGTAAACCAAAAAATCAATTCTCTCTCTCTCCCTCTTTCTCTCTCTCTATCTCTAACTCGTAGGTTAATAATTATCCCAGCTTTTTTGAGGGCGCTGAAAGTGTGGTTACACAATAAAAACTTTATCTGGGGAGAACAGAAGTCTTGCCTTATGCAATACTGCACTTCTTTTATAATAATCAGGAAAATTAATATGCACGTTTGCGATATAATTGCATCACCGTTAAAAACGGAATTTAAAATTTTCATTTCAATTACTTTAATTTCGAAATTTCGACAATGGATAAAACTGGTACTCTGGTAAAGCCAAACAAAGGATATAATATGTGACCCTGACGTTATCTCAGTATTTTCTACGTAAGAGTTCCCTAGTAGAAGGAAATCATCTCAATAGACTAAAGCCAAATTCTTGGATCGTAGTATATGCTGATACTCCACCTATTTTTCTTACTCTTACACAGTACCTTCACCAATATCCCCTCTGATCCAATTCTTTCGAGGTTGAATGTTTTGCTCGTAAAGGTGCCTACTGAACCCTTGTCTTCCTTGCTGTATTGTATCTTGATTCGTTCACAGTTCGACTCCGATTGGACGGTACTTTCAAGGTTTTTGATAACGGCCTCTTGTGTGCGAGATCCTCAACTCCTTCCAGGATTTTAAAAACTTCCTTGCCAAATACGAAACCACCACGAATTCGATATCCAAAGGGTCTTTCCAACCTATTTTGGACAGGGTTCGCATCTAAAATAAAACATACCTACATTAGGTCGTTGACTGAGAAGGTGGTCCGTTGCCATAATTATTGCCTTTTAGTGAATTTGTATAAATCAACTAGAAGACTTGTCCAAGTCGACTAGGAATAATGGTCCTACATAATCTTTCAAGTAAATGGCACTCTGATGACCTGAAAATTATTCAAATTACCATATATTACCATTATACCCGCTTTCGATATAATTGACTGAAGCGCAGGAGATTTCTATATTACGATGTTTAAAATGGCGCCACCACGCTTATTCTTTACTAATTTTCCGACCATTCTTCTTAAAAATATGTTTTAAATCTGTCTGTTTTTCCGTTAATCAGCTGTCGCCCCCATACGAACTACAACTCTCAGAAGTTGAGAAACTTGTACGAGCTAAGGACTAACAAGGTCTTACCTTTCAATTTTAAATTCTCTCGAGAAAAATATCTGGTCGAGGCGGAAATAGAACCCACGGCCTTCCGATCGTGATTCGGGCGCACTACCACCGCGACCAATTCCACAACAAATAACGGAATTCCTCTTAGTGGTCGTTCGATTCCGATAACGAATTATCAGATGAAGTGCTTATGTTGCACAACTTCTACAACTACCGACTCCTACACTACGCCCACTAATGTACCATTTCCCACTCTGACCTGCCTTATAATATTTCCAATACTCGAAATTGATATTGTCAAAGTACATGTGCTCTCTTGCACCACTATCCATACACCATGTTTCCAGTTTCAGACTAGAATATTGGACATCTCGAACTCACCCAGCCTTGATTGGTCAGCAGAGTATTTTTTTGTTTCGTTGTTTCTTGAACCAACAATTTACATATTCGTGTCCAGGTTTCTTGCAAAAATGGCATATCTTCTTGATAAGCCCATGACAATCCCTCTTCATATGTGGTCCATCGTGGTATTTTATGTTTGTCTCGTCCTTATTTCTTCTTCCACCAAATCTTTGTGCTGCCAAATATGTTTTGCATCGCTTTTCTTCAACTATGAGTCTTGACATTGAATAAGAGACATTTCTATTCACCTTTGGTGAAGCAGTTACAAAATGCCCCATATTCTCTGGAAGTGACAATGACACCTTTGTCATCATCATTTTATTACTAATTTTTCCCCAATTACTTCAATGTCACCTGAATTTCTTGTAAGTCAGACATAAATTCTGCCGCATTGCTTCCTTAATTGAATTTGAAACTAAAGAATTTCTGGGTTAAAAGGTGGACACTCACTTGAGATTGGTGCTCAAATATTGTTTTTAGCTTTGTCCACATATCCTTAGCGGTCTTGCATGATATGAGTAATCACCTTCTTATCTAGTCTTGACGCAATGCTATCCTATGAATATTCTCTGAATTACATTTTTATAATGTTAATTTTCATTTTTCTCAAAAAATATTTATTAATTCATCAGTTTCTATTTTGTTACCCTAAGATATAATTGGATTATATTTCTGGTTCATAAATGAATATCATAGACGGAATAAAGCAAACTGACGAAGTTACTTCAATGGTAGGTGTGCTGACCCACGGTGTGTAATGATATACAACACTTCACTAAACACTTTATTAACTTTCCAATATTAACAATCAATCCCAACTTAATCCCGAGATGTGCACTTGCTCGATGCTCGATTCATACCCCCCCAGTTGCCTTTGATTATTCAACCTTCCCATGAGTCATTCCCATGAGTTCCTTTTCATCAGCTTCAATGGCTCTATCCTAGGGGGTAACTGCTGGACTGGTGGATGAATGTTTGGAGGCTCTAGTTTTCCGGGCTCACTGTTGGCAGTAGTCATTTGTTCCAGCATTTCATCTTGTTCGGTGGCTGAAAATCATAAATATACAATCAGTATTATTGAAAGTTCATGACGTGGTGTGTATACTTCCTGTTTCAGCATTTTCATACGAAGGAATCTTTTTTACGTGGTGTACATGCCGTTTCATTGTCTTCCCATCTCCAACAAGGGTTACTTCATTTCCAACCCGTTGTGTAACTACGTATTCTATAGGGTTGTACCTGGAAGTGAGCATATGGAGAATCACCATATTTTTTGTAACAACCTTGTCCCCTATTTTAATGTCACTATTCTTCACTTGCCGTCTTCCATCTTCTTTCCTTTTACCTTTTTGTTTGTTGATCAAGTCATTATCCTGGGCTTCTTGGTCGATTTCTTCTCCAACGAGGTCAATTACCGAAGGGATTTTGTCCCTTATCCTCCTGTTGAATATCAATTCCAACGGTGATTTCCCAGTTGTTCCATGGGGAGTTACATTATGCATCATGATAAATTTCCTGATTTCGCTTTCATAGTCTCGTCTAGTATTATAACTCATTTGTAACCTTTTGAGCAAGGATTTATTCATGTTCTCAACTTCTCCATTAGCTTGTGGCCAATACGGTGGTGTGTGTTCTAGCTGGATATTGTTTTCTTCGCAAAACTAGAGGAGGATTATCGACACTCCTCCCACTTTACATTTAATTAGCTCATCCTGTTTAGTTTAGTTTTAGGGTGTCTTACGTTGTCGATTTTGAAACAGGAAGTGAGCTTATGTGGAATCACCATATTTTGTCCCCTTTTTTATGTCACTTTTCTTTACCTGTCGTATTCCATCTTCTTTACTTATACCTTTTTCTTTGTTGATCAAGTCATTATCCTGGGCTTCTTGGTCGGTTTCTTCTCCAACTAGGTCAATTATCGAAGGGATTTTGTCTCTTATCCTCCTGTTGAATATCAATTCCGACGGTGATTTTCCAGTTGTTCCATGGGGAGTTACATTATGCATCATGATAAATTTCCTGATTTCACTTTTATAGTCTCGTCTATTAGTATAACTTATTTGCAACCTCTTGAGCAAGGATTCATTCATGTTTTCAACTTCTTCATTAGCTTATGGCCAATATGGTGGTGTGTTCTAACTGGATATTGTTTTCTTCGCAAAACTTCTGAAATTCCTTACTAGAGAACTGTCTACCATTGTCTGCTCGAATGGACTTCGGGATCCCAAGTTGACAAAATATTTCTTTTAGATGATTGATGATGAGAGTAGACGTTGTTGTTTTCAGAAACTTAACAACCAGAACTTGTTCTTGGTTCGGTAGCGGTCCCATGAGATCAATGGCCAGGTATTCCCAGGGACTTAGGTAACATGTGCCGAGTCATTGGTGGGGGTTTTTCAGGTCGGCTAACCAACAAACAGTCCCTGCATCGTTTCACAAATTGTTCGACCTGCTTGTCAATTAGGGGCCACCATACCTTGGCCCTAAGTCGACGTTTCATAATTGTTTCACCTGGGTGGCCTTCATGTGCAGATTAAGTACCTGGGGCCTCTGCGACGCTGGTATAACGATTTTATTGTTCCTAAGGAGAATTAGTCCGAGGGTTGTCAATTCAAAACAGAAAGGGAAAAAACATTCTTATCAGCCGATTCCCAGCTGTTATCCCTAAGTTTATTCACTGCGTCTGCCAACTCTGGGTCTATCAGACTCTCCGCTGATATTTCTGTAATCTTAGTGAGCCTAGTGAGTTGCCGAAGTGGTTCAGTTGTCGTCGCTAATTCTAGTATGAATTTTCCAAGATGAGTAACCAGTCCTAAGAAGCTATGTACTTCTTCTTTTGACGAAGGGTGTCTGAATTGTAATACTGATTTCTGATCTTATTTTGGTCCGCATCTATTCCTTTATGTGATAAATTATGTCCTAGGAAATTTAGCTGCTGAACCTTCGTGACGCATTTTGTTTTGTTCGATAACACGTCATTTTCCTGGAATGTTTCCATAACTTTATTTGGAACGAAGTCGTGTTCCTGTTTCGTAATTCCATAAACGATAATATCATCCAGATAATTGATACAATTTTCGCATTGGAATAATACAATTTCAAAAAACCGCTGGAAAATTTCATTACCGAATACCGGCAATGGGTAATTCTCTCGAAGAATTGCCCGATTTGCTCTGCGCATATCTACACAAAGTCTGATGTCACCGTTCGACTTGTAAGTTATGACAATGGGTGAGATCCATGGGCTATGTCCTTCTACGGGCTCGATAATGTCACGTTTTGAAGCCTTTTATTTTAGTTTCCACCACTGCTTCAACTGCAACAGGCACGCGCCTCAGTGGTTGTTGTACTGGTTCGACCGATCTGTCAATAGTCAGTGATACTTTTACGTTCCTTATTTTTGGAAAATGTCATATATGTTCTATTTGATTCACCCCTAGTCCCAACTTCAACACGCCTAGCCGTTTAGCTGCATCTTTGTCCAAGATTGATATTCCTCCTCTATCAACTACAAAAAAGGAAGTTTAACTATTTCCCGTTCATCCATCGTGCCGACCGTTGTTCGAAACTGGAGTTGAATTTCCAGAGATTATTGTGCTGCGTACAGTTTGAGAGTGTTTCTCGTTTGGAAATCGATATTCCAGACAACTGCTTTTTTGTGTGTGAATAGTCTCCAATCACGTCCATTAATGATATTTGCTTTCAAACCAGAGTCTATGAGGAGGATTATCGACACTCCTCCCACTTTACATTTAATTAGCTCATCCTGTTTAGTTTAGTTTTAGGGTGTCTTACGTTGTCGATTTTGAAACATTCATAACTCCTGAGGTTATTCCCATCACGCCGATTTTCCTCAACAGACCTTTGCTGATCTAGGTTATTCACACGTGATAATTTTTCCCTTTTCCTTTTGAATCCGTTATTACTCCCACTAAAAGGCCTTTTCCTCTGCTTAGTCTTGCATTTGCTGGCGAAATGACTTTTGGGGTCACATTTGTGACACCTAAACTTCTTTGTTGGGCAATTGAAACTTGTCCCAAGGTGGTTTCCTCCGCAACGGGAACATTTCAGTATCCCTTAGTCTCGTATGGATATCTTGTTGATAGACGTACTCGGCAGATTTATGGTGCCAACGTCCACGGCTCTAGATTGTTCTATTATTTGCTTGTGGACTTGACAAAGGTCAATAATTTCCTCCAATGTTATTTCCATCTCTAAAAGTTTTTTTTCAGTTCTAAAGGAGCTCGGTGGTCGATTATTTTGTCCTTGATGTTTATCTCCGTTGCTTCATCTGCTGTGTTCCCGAAAGATTTCGTCGCCTGCTGTCTCAATCGAATAAGGAATTTATTGAGGGTCTCCCCCTACCAAAGAAAGGAAGGAAGGGGTTATATTTTTAGGAGTGATTAATTTTTTTTTCTTACTGGTTTTACCGATCTGTCAATAGTCAGTAATACTTTTACGTTCCTTATTTTTGATTCACCCCTAGTCCCAACCTCAACACGCCCAGCCGTTTAGCTGCATATTTTCCCAAGATTGACATTTCTCCTCTATCAATTACAAAGAAAGAAGTAACTATTTCCTGTTTATCCATTGTGCCGACCGTTGTTTTAAACTGAAGTTGAATTTCCAAAGATTGTTTTGCTGCGTACGATTTGAGGGTGTTCCTCGTTTGGAAATCAACATTCCAGACAACTGCTTTTTTGTTTGTGAGTAGTTTCCAATCACGTCCATTAATAATATTTGCCTTCGAACCAGAGTCTATGAGGAGGGTTATCGACACTCCTCCCACTTTACACTCAATTAGGTCATCCTGTTTACTTAGGCTTTTAGGGTGTCGATTTTGAAACATTCATGACTCCTGAGGTTATTCCCCCCACGCTGGTTTTCGTCATCAGACATTTGCTGATCTAGGGAATTCACACGGTGATGATTTTTCCTTTTTTTTTCGGATACGTTATTACCCCCACTGTAAGGCATTTTCCTCTGCTTAGTCTTGCATTTGCTTGCGAAGTGACCGACGAGGTCACATTTTTGACACCTTGAGTTTTTTGCTGGGCAATTGGAACTTGTCCCAAGGTGGTTTTCCCTGCAACGGAAACATTCCTGTATTCCTTGGTCACGTACCGATATCTTGTTGACAGACGTACCCGGCAAATTTATCGTGCCAGCGTCCATGGCTCTAGATTGGTCTATTATTTGCTCGTGGACTTGACAAAGGTCAATAATTTCTTCCAATGTTCTTTCCTTCTCTAAAAGTTTCTTTAGTTCTAAAGGAGCCCAGTGGTCGATTATTTTGTCCTTGATGTTTATCTCCGTTGCTTCATCTGCCGTATTCCCAAAAGAACATTTCGTCGCCTGCTGTCTCAATCGAATGAGGAATTTATTGAGGGTCTCCCCCTCCCCGGGTTTGATGTTCCTGAAGGTATGTCTTTCGAAGGTTGAATTTTGAAGTGGCGNGGCAAATAGATCTTCAGCAACTGCCCCGGGTATATTATAAGCTACTTCTTGTAATTGAACTCCCCCCAGATGCAATAGTTTGTTTCTTTTCCTGGAGCTATTCTGAATATTTTCAGAATCAGAATCCAATTACACTTCTGCCATTCAGTTCTAATGGAGACCTTCTCAATAGTATCGCACAGGACTGGTCTGATTCCGGACTGATCCGACATATTGCAAAGCACGAGTTACAATTGAATGTAACACTCTACAACTTGAATTTGATTTGTGGACGAGTTACAATTGAATGTAACACCCCCCAACTTGAATTTGATTTGTAGACTAGTCACAATTGAATGTACCTAACACTCTCGCACTGGAACTTGATTCGTGGACGAGTTACAATTGAATGTAACACTCTCCAACTCGATTTTGATTTGTGGACAAGTTACAATTGGACGTAACACTCTCCACCTTGAATTTGATTTGTGAACGAGTTACAATTGAATGTAACACTCTCCAACTAACTTGAAGTTGATTTGTGGATGTTGTTCAATGTTTCAACATATTAATTGAAAAATATACTTTTTATCATCTGCTAACAACGTGAATGATCTTGTGATGTTGACTGGTAAGGTCATTGATAAATTTTATGATTGATTCGGCCGTTACTTGATGAAGATCCATAGTAATTTCAAAAACCACTTTTATTTGTAATTATCGTTACTGCAGTTTCGTCCTATAAGGACATTTTCAAACTTATACATTAAACCAAAAATGATTGATTACATTAGCCCTTATATAACACCACTGTAGCTTAATTGAGTAGGTACTTAAATTTTATTTACTTGTGACAATGTGGATAGGCTAATGTGAAACCGGTGAGTAAATTATATCGATTTGATCAATTAACAGGTTGCACCTGTAATGTTTATGTTCATGAATTTCCAGGGATTCCAAATAATTGAATTTGCAACCCTTTTGCATAGTGCGAAATTTCCGCATCGTTTAGATTCGGGAACTTGTGGTTGCATGCCAAGTAGAGGTTTGAAAACGTCGAATCATTTTTACCTGGCATGTGGTCTGAATGCCACTTCCACATTGTTTCTTCTGAAGAAACCTGCAATTATCTGTTCTTTTACCAAAATATGTTGATAAAAATTATTAACAAGAAAAGAAAATTAAATGATTCCAAGCCAAGTTACTTTACGACGTTTCGATTGTTAGTATCCAAAATACTCTTCGTACTCCGAAATCTGACGGTGATTGAGGCATGATTACGGTGTTGTATGAATTGTTTTTTCACAATACCGGACGTTTTCTTCGTATCGCTTCTCGCAAACGACGCATAACTTCCAAGATAATATTTCTTATTGACCTTATGACCATGTGGCAAGAAATTCTGATACTTGGCGTGTTTTTTTTGGTATTGGTTCTCCTGTACTCTTCCATTGGTACAACTTTGGTTTCGATGTAATAACCATATACCCATGATTCGTCACCAGTTATGACCCTTTTAAACAAATCTGGATCGCCATTGACGTCATTCATTTTTAGTCAGAATTCAACAATTTTGAAACGAAATTCGCTTCCACACGCTTCATGATCAAAATTTATGAAAAAATTGACATCCTCAGCAACTTCTCTAATAGTGATTCGACGATTCTCCATAACCACATTTTCTCATCTTTTGTTTGCTTGGGCGTCCAGGGCGTGCGTTGTCACTCACAGCTTCTTGACTTTCTGTGAAAAGTTTGTATCTCTTGCAAATATTTTTCTAACTCAGAGTAAAATCACTATATGCACCTGCCAACATTTCAAGTATTTTTGAGCACTTAATTTAGTTCTTTGCACAAAATTTGATCTTCACCCGCAGCCTCCAAACAAATCAGCTACCCTGTGAGTTTAGATCTCATGAAATTAATAACTAAACACTAAAAAGGCTGAAGACTCTGTCTAGTCTCTTGCTCGTCCGCGACCTTGGCAATACAAAAAGGAATTTTCTACAGTGGTTGCACCAACTAATTTCCTGACCTTGTCACAGTATCACTGTTAAGTCGACTTATTGCGTTATTGTTATTTGATTATTGTTATTCCTAGGTTGAGCTGAAAAACAGCTTTGGCTGATACTCTGCCTATTCACCTTTATGGTGAATGAAGACATATTATTATAAACAAGATTATGTGGATCTACGTTGAGTATCTCCAAAAATATGTGAAGGAATCAGCCGATACTTGATGAAAATCCATACTGTATTCAAGAAAGGCAACACGTGTTTCGCTTCATAATAGCTTCTTCGGAAGTGGCTATACAGCTTGTTGCAATTCATTATCAGCTCAGATACTTGCTCGAGCCTACCTAGTGTCACCTTTATTGGACGTGGGTGTAGTCTTTAACACTTATTTTCAAATTGTTATAAGTATGTGAATCTAAGTAAATCAGTTCTTTCATTCCAAAAATGATTAAGTTGCACTTTCAATTTTGCCGCTCGATAACTTATCCCATAATTTCTTCAAACTGAAAATTTCAATGAAATGGATTTCTCAGACCGCTTCATTGACTCAGTGTCATTCTGCAGACTAAAGCCCGTATGACACGGTTCAGTTTTTCATCTATTTTCTGAAAGAGAAACTGGAAACAGATTTTACTGTATCGTGTAATATAGAAAGACAGATATTGATTCGCTAAATGATTTTGCTAAATATCAGTGTTTTGAAAAGGTAATCAATATAATGTAAAGTGCATATAATATCACTGATATATTTGGTATATCTCCAATAGCTAATCTGTCGTTAAAATGGTTTGGTCGTCTGCACATATTAGTACTTTGATTGAAGAATACCAGAAATATCCCTGCTTATATGCTGTTAAACATCCATTACACCGCAATAGAAATGCTCGGGCAAATGCTTTGACAAAGATTTGTGAAGTATTATGTGAATTGAGACCAGAAACAACTATAGAAGAAATTAAGACTAAATTCTCTAGCCTGAGAACAACATTCCTTAGTGAGAAAAGAAAGATGGAAAAGGCCATAAAAAGTGGAGCTGGTGTAGATTGTGTAAGTATCAAAATTCTAAATATAGAAATAGAAAATATTACACATATTGTGCTTCGTTTATAAAGTGATGATGATATATTTCAGGTTTATGTACCATCATTATGGTATTTTGAAAAAATTAGTTATTTGACTGAACATGTGACTCCAAGACCATCAAAGTCAAATCTAGATGCTTGCGAAGAACAGGAATCACATAACGTCCTTTCTCCTATAATACGTGAAAGAAAAAACAAAAACACTATTCACCTCGTAGAAGACGTACAGGAATATGTAGATCAAAATAACCTCTTACAGATTTCATGTGATGAAACAAAGGACAGCAAAAATGAACAGAAAACCATTTGAAAGTGCAGAACAAAATGTAATGAAAGATGCCAGTAAAGCACTTAATGATATAACTAATGCTATAAAATCTGCATCACAAGAAACTAATTCTGCTGAAGATATGTAAGGCAAACTTGTTGCTGAACGTTTGAAATCCATCACAGATCGCAGGAAAAGACTGAGGGCACAACAAGACATTGATGCCATTTTATATCAGTACCTCATTGATGACTGATTCATTGAAATCCATTGATAATAATTTTAATCAACGAATGTGATGAATAGTATCTATAGAAATTGTAGTTTTTATTTTTTGTTATAGATTCTAAATTTTATACAACCATTTGATGGATAGATATTATGTATTTTAGTCATTTTGTTTTGTTTTTGGAGATTTTGTAAATAAAGTATTTGAAATGAAATCAATGAACTTTAATGAATAATATCAAGTACATGTAATGANGTTAACACAATGTTATAGGCGACAGGAATATTTCGCCCTGGTAGTGTTTGGTCTGGAGGAAAGTTTAATTTATTAGTTTTCATCAATCTGCATAAAGAACTATCTCTAAATACTCCACCATCACTAATGCGACCATAGGTATTTGACCATAGGTAATTGAATAGTTCGCATCAACGAGTACTAGCAAAACGATGCTATGATTTCCTTTATAATTATAATAAAAGGAACCAGCACTTTTTGGTGGTCTGAAGTTTATATGTTTTCCATCCAATGCACCTAAGCACATTGGAAAATTCCACTTTATATGGATCTCGTCAGCCACCTTTTTCCATTCATCTGATGTAAAAGGACATTTCAAATACTCTTCTCTCAACCTTGAGTAGATAGCTTGACATACTTCTGGAATAACGATAAGTCTCCCCAGTTGCTAAGTATCGAAGAGTTATGGTCAGTCTGAAAATTTAAAAATTAAAATCTAAACATAATAGAATTTATGAAACGAACCTCTTTTCTGCTGAAATACATTCTCTCATGTTTGTATCCTTTTTAGAAATTGTATCTTTAATTTTGTTCAATAGAAAAGTGAACTGTTCTTCATTCATTCTCATAAAATTAGTATATGATACAGGATCTTCAATAAGGAGTTCATTTTTCAGCATGTTGAGAACTCCTCGTCTCTAATTTCTCCTTTGCAGCCAGTCTCGAGACCAAAGTTTTCTTCTCCTTTTCCCATTTTTTTTTCAAAATAAATAAGCTGAGAGTAGTAATAACTACTGCCAAACTACAGATCATTAGATATTGTTGAAAGGAGACCGTTATTTTAAAGTATACCATATAAATATTATTCCCAACCTTAATTTGATTTTACCATGACATATATGACTATGATTTGACATTTGATGGGATCCATTGGACATGCCTCTGGTGAGAATATCTTGTATAATGTCACACAGCATATATTTTCGCACATAAAATCATCCATTTTATTATTGATACAAAATAACGTCATTTTGGGGTCACATAACGTCAATGACCATAAATGACTATATATTGACGTACAAATGACGTCAGCTTGTTACCTGGGTAATTGTCTTCTTGCATCAGTTCCATGTCTTCAACATTCTTTGATTCATCATCATCGTCACTGCTGGTATTTCTAATTGTAGACGTTTGAACGTCAGTTACAGAATCGTTGTTGCGTTTTTGAATTTCTGCTTATTATAGGTCACGATTATCGAGATTAGCGCCATTTATCGGGTTTTTATTGACGGGAAAGGAGTCATCACCAGTATCTTGGCTATAACACTGCATTTCAGTTTGCTTTACAACACTATCTCCATTATAAGCATCAGCTGCCTGTACATGAGTAAACAATCTGGGATCACTATTTTGAAGAACGAGACTTTCATTATTAACCCGTCATTTGTCGCTACCTACTGTCAAACGTGGTTTGTCGCGCGTGAGTATTTGCTCACATTAAGGATTTCATCGATTGTATGGGTATTTTAGCCAAAATAATTCAGCAAACAAGTGTCTCTTAATAATATATTGATAAACCATTATAAATGTGAATCATTTTAGCCTAATAACACAGAGCTAGGGGGTTGTTGGGAGTTCTTGGCTCTGAATACATCTTTGACATATCACTATGGAATGATCATTGCATAAGTAAACAGAGCACTTACAACATGTTTTTTTGGTTTTTCTGTTCTTACGACGTGGACACAATGAGCACATGCCGCTGACACTAACAGTTGGTACTGGAACTTCGTCAATGCCTGCAAGTTGCCTTATTGATTCCCGCAACTTTGGAGGTAAATTTGGGATAGATAGTCTACTTTGTGCCTGTGGCTTCATAAGTTGCAAAGCTAATTCTCTCAGGAACATTCGTCGCTCGAGTTTGTTTTCTGTGTTACCTGTATAGATAATCTGGCTATTGATTCCACCAATATTCAATAAACAATAAAATACTGTCAATGGCCATCTGCAGGAGTTTCTGGAAACAGTATACTGGGATATCATTTCATCCACAACATCAACGTCACCTTTTGTTGCGTTATAAAATGTTATTATTTCTGGTTTACATTTGCCAAGAGTGTCTTCATCAACTTTGTCGCCAGAATGTTGAGTTGAAAAAAATAGCACATTTTTATTTTTTTGGGTACATACGACATAAAAACTCCCTTTTTTAGAAATGCAAACATACTACTGCATGACCGACGTTCCTTCGTTTGAACAAAAAATTGGAGAAATTTCCTTTTTGTTTTTTCTTACAGTTCCAACTAGAGTTGTTCTTTTTTCCAGCAAATCTAACGCTAATGGAATAGACGTAAAATAATTATCCATTGTTATGTTTCTACCTGTGTTCAAAATGTGATCGGCTAATCTTTTGACTACAATTTCTGCTTTATTATTGAAACTGTAGATTCCCTCGGGTTGTTCTCCAGGATAGATTTCCAAGTTTGAGACATAAACCATTGTAGAATCTACTAAAGCGTAAATCTTTATGCCGTACTTTGACGGCTTGTTGGATATATATTGACGAAATTTGCATCGTCCGCGGAATGCCGGTAGCATTTCGTCAATTGTCGTGTTCTGACCCACCTGGTAGTTGTTCAAGCATTTGGTCACAAATTCGTCAAAAACTTCCCTTATTGGTGCCAGATTGTCTATTGCCTTTCTCTGATCTCTATCATTCAAATTATCAAATCTAAGAGCCTCTAAAAGCGTATAGAACCTGCGACTTGACATCACAGCGCGAAAACATACAGGAGAAGTGACATCATCTGCCCACAGTTCATGAATATTGAGATGAGAGGATTTCTTTACACCTGCCATGTAGAGAAGGCCTATGAGGGCAGTTATTTCTTGAGGAGTGGTATCGGGGCAATCTCTCTCTCGTGCATAATTTTGACGCATTTTTTGAAGATATATATTTGTACAATTTGTTATGAGCAATATCATTTCATCAGGGAAAAATAAGTTCCACGAATCTACAATTGTCTTTGCGGATCTTGCTACTGTTTTCACGCCTGGTAGTTTTATCAATATATTTTCTCTCCCTCGTCGAACATTGAGACGAGGCGCATGCTTTGCCCAAATGGTTGATTTATCCCTCCCAATAAATGAAAGACCAGAAGGCAGTATGTCTTCTTCCTCCTCTGAAGAATGTACTGCAGATTGTTCTGAATCAGTTTGGTGATTACTATGTACCGAGGGTGCATCTGATTCATATTCATCCAATCGTTGTTCTTCATTAGAATCGACATTTTGTGCAGCGAGCCATGGAATATTAGCCTCTGAGAAGAAATATAAAATAAGTACAAATTTATACTATTGATCATCAATAACTCACCATTCTTTTTCCACGACTCATTATATCAAACCGATATTTACAACAAACATACTTATTCGCTCAATGAGTAAAATGTTCACAACACAAAATTTATACTACGCGGTTTGTCGCTCGATGAGAAAAATGCTCCCGCAAGTAACGCAGATGCAAACAGACTAACTCAAAATGAAGCATGCAGGTACTGACTGAATTTGCTCAACACGAATCGTTCAGGTAAGGATAGAAACTCAGCTAGACGTATGCGCAAAGTTATTCAAATCGGCGTTGCCAAACTGCAACAATTTTACCAAAAATGTAAGCAAAATGCTCATATAGCGACAAATGACGGGTTAAGCTCAATTTCATGTGGCTCACAACCAACATACAAGATCTCGACATTGTTGTCAACATCATAAATATTTAGCGAATCTTGGCAATCAAAATTATTACAATCCTGAAGGAATTCCAGCGAATTTTCTTCGTTCTGCTGTGTAACTTACACAAAATTAGTTTGAGAAAGCGTCGATGAAACAGATTGGTCTTCAAGAGATGCATCTTCTGTCTCTTTTCTTACCATGCGAATAATTTTGTCTTTTCTCGTATACATTTTGATCTAAAATAAAATACAACAAACTCTAAGTGCCGTTTCACAAAGGACCGATGATCAGCACTGACGATCGGTCGCTACCGATCATCGGTCGAATAAAATTCTTTTCACATACGACTGATCATCAGTCGTCAACATGTATGTGAGAAGTACACACCATCGCGTTGTTGTCGCTTTGTGCGTGAAAAGGTTGATAGAAAGGAAAAAAAAGAAACGAAACTTCAGAAATATTTGGGTTCATCCTTTATGTCTACAGAGGCCAATAAAAAGTGCTTTCGTAACCCTTTATTCAAATTTGCGAGAAGATCCACGTAAATTCTTTATGTATTTTCGGATGTCCATTTCTTCGTTTGACGAACTGCACCACAAGCTAGAAAATGATCTAAAATTTTCAGATCGTATTAGGGCTTCAATTTCTTCAGTGGAAAGATTGAGTGTAGCACTAAGGTAAGCTTTTTCGAAAATAATTAATATCTAGGTAATAAATATATAAGCATTGAATTATTTATAATATTTTATTGATTTAGATGAAAAAAGTGTCAGACATTAACTGAACCCAAAATAGTATATTAAAGTATAAGTGGATAAGTAGGTCTTTCAAACACGCGCGATTTTTC